AATAGAAAACAGATTTGCCATAATTCAACAACATTGGATAACATCGAGATTTAACCTTTACAAATGGAGAGTGGTCAACACTGCAGGCAATGAGTAAGAGTTGGTATTTCCCGAATAAAGCTAGGGATTTAGGTGGAAAAACGTGATTTGCCCATGGGAAATGTGATGGTTTACCATATAGGAATGGCCCCACGATTTCAAAAACTGACCATTTTCATCAAAGTTCTAGAAGTTCCAGCATGCAATACAAACAAGACCGAAGCCAAAACACTTTGGATGCTCCAAATCCTTGGGTGTGAATTAAGTCATCGGGGACCAGAAAATGGCAGGCTTTCCGTTGACCCCGTGCTGAGATGATCCCTGGTCTGGAATTTTCTTGGACTCCTTGCGCCTTAACTCCTTGGATATCTTACACACAACTAGAAGATACGAATATGATATATAATATGATGATATATAGAGCTGAAATATATCGCCCAGAATGTTCTAGAAATGTCGGCATATGACATGCCCGCCACTGCTGACACCACCACCAATAACAACAGCAGAACTCCATAAAGAACCTGTAGTGGCACTGACCCAAAGCTATTGACCGAACATTGCAGAATATTCCAAAACTCACTAAAATATCTAGGATTTGGATGGATTTGGGTGTCAGACCTCTTGCCAAACATGATTTTTAAGGCAAGATACATTGAAACCTCTCCTTTGAAGCCAACCGCTCAACGATGCTCCAAAACGTTAAAGATTGAACCGGGTGGATGAGCACGACAATATGGAATTCCAGCCTCAAACTTCCAGTGACAAAACAAACTTGCCAATTCTGGCAGAATACTGTCGGGGACTAATTTAATTGAACACTTCAATGTATGTTGGAACCAAAATATGGCTGATGCATTTGATTTCTTTGATGTGTTGTCGTGCTTTGCTTCGTGTGCTGAATGCTGCTTGTCTGTTGCCCAAAATAAACGTTGCACACAAACTTGAAATTTTGGCCAGCTCCACATTTTGTGATGCCCCGTGGACGCTACGCAGCTTGGAGCCAACGCATTGCCGCCAGATGAGCACCGTTTTTTTCAATGACGGCACCGATTCGGTCCCACGTTCAATTAGGACGAATTTTTTAAGGTCACTTACGCCGAAAATGACCCCCACACATTTTCGACATCACTTGCGACGAAAAACTTCTGATTACCTGTAAATTTCCACGAAATTTCGCTTCCACGAAATGCAAAAAACGATCCTGAGAGCAACTCTCATTCATGTTCCAGTGGGGTGGGGTGGGGTGGGATGATAACGTTCATGTTCCTATTCACACACAGGCACAGCAACCTCATCATCTTTCTTGCTGTTGAGAAGAGACAGGCACAGCTCTTTCATGATCAGTTACCGGTGGGGTGGGGTGAGTTAATAAGGTTCATGTTCCTATGCATACAGACGCACAGCAACCTCATCATCTTTCTTGCTGTAGAGCACTTACACGCACTGCTCTTTCATGATCAGTTACCGGTGGGGTGGGGTGAGTTAATAAGGTTCATGTTCCTATGCCTGCACACGCACAGCAACCTCATCATCTTTCTTGCTGTAGAGCACTTACACGCACTGCTCTTTCATGATCAGTTACCCGTGGGGTGGGGTGGGGTGGGATGATAACGTTCATGTTCCTATGCACACACAGGCACAGCAACACCGTCGACGTGCAAGCACACAAGCGCCACTTTTATACGGAAATTTACAGGTAAAATTCCGATGCCACTACAAAGCCGCACAAACGACATCAGAAACAACACGCGCAAAAGCACCACTTTGTACGCAAATTTACAGGTCAAAACCCGACGCCAAGAAAAAAACGGCACAAGGGAATTACGCTATCATGCAATGCACAAAAAGGTCCTGCGAGCAACCTGTCTAGTATATGTTGTTGCACAGCATGAAACAAGAGCCACAAAAAAAAATACCCAATGGTATTACACGAATGCTGATGGTTCAAGCAGTTAACATGTTTCTCCTCATACTGTTCTTATCATGTGCCCAAAAAAAACATTACATGGTTCTACCTTTTAGGCTTTGGGGGGGGTGGGGGGGTGGGGGGGGTGAGGTAGCTATCCCCTTTGAGGGAGCCCTGGATACTAATGTACAACACCTGTGGCAAGCGAAGGCGACTGCACACCTTTTTACTAAGCTGCGGAATTGCTGCTAGTCTTGAGCCATGCGGAGTGCGCATGAAAGATATGAATTAAGTGTACATGTCAACATGCATGACAGCATTGTGTAGACACGTAAAACAAAATAAATCACAAACAGACACAAATTTTCTTCGTGTCGGAACATGCAAGTCTGTTTCACAGGTAGCGCTCAGCCTGTGATCTGCTGTGAGACGGTCCGAAGACAGATACAAAAACTGTACAATGAGCTACTCTCAGCTGTTGGCAAGCGACCGCAAATGCGGAAC